CAACAAAATGAATGGCAAAACTGTAATGTGAGGGACTTTGAGTGGTCATCAAGACTAGAAAAGCTCTATATAATTACAAACCATCTAGTATTTGACTATTTACAAGAGTGAAGACAGAAAGTGAAGAAAACGTCTTCAATTTCAATTTATTAGTCGTGCTCCCATTAAAAATTAGGAAACATATATTTCCTTAGTGCTGTTACCAAATTTGAATTGATTATCATGAAGCTCATGTAGCTGAGTAACTGCAGCTGCCTCCACCTGAAAGTAAAGTGAGTCACTGTAGGGCAAAAAGCAGAGCTCTCCCCTGTCTGGGAATATTTAACATTATATATGGATTTACAGTGGAGGACAATTATAATATAGACCATATCTTTTACCATAATTCTTTAATATATTTAGTGATACTCTGTATAAAGATCGTATCTGGTATTGTACATTTAACATTAAAATAGGGATTAGATTTTAAAATTCAGTAATCACATTACTTTCTAGTCCCAGCCTCACTGTTACTTTGACACTTGGGGGTCAGCATATTTGCTGTCTTATCAGTAGTATGATGGAGGGTCTGTATCAGTCTGATCTCTGTGTGTTCAGTGGGCAGAAAGCTGTCCTCAGCCCCTGACTCACCGGGATTGGCTGAGTGCACATGGATGACCTCATGTAGTCACAAACAGCAAAACAAGTATTTTTACAATGATGGCTAAAACAATGACACAATTACAAATTTCTGCCTGGTGTATTGTTCTTACTGCAGTGTGACAGAGATTGTAGCACATTTGTGTCTTCCAACAATTTATATATCAGCAAGTTAATGTAGACCACCGAGTATTGATCAATTAAAATAAATCAACGATGTCATGTAGGACTTTAATGACAAACTAGTAGTATCATGGTGACGACTAGATCACAGCACTCCCAGAATTTGTAGATTGTGATGGCGGATCATGGACCGCTATTGTGGATCGTGATCATGGTGGCATATCATAGGTCATGGTTTTGAAGCAACTGTACTATTATATAAGCCACTTTTTCACACAGAGATATTTGTTTTCTTCTAGTTTATTTCATTTTTAGGCTTATTAGCAGCATCATCAACCCCCCCCCCCACTCGCTTGCAGTGAATCTAGCGGGGGATCCCCTGCTGAGTCATCCACTACTCCTGTAACTATGGACTTTATAGGAGGGTCAGGCGGAGAGAGTCCGTAGAAATTGCAGAGCATCTCACTTGGACATTTGCATTCACACCATAGTTCACACATGCACCTTCCCCGGAGAAAATACGGAGGATCTGCGGAGTCCAGTGATGGTTTTGTGTTATTTGGCAGTACTTTATACAACTTTGACATACATTGGAATTCAAGCCATGAAGGAACAAGATTTAGTTATTTGAAATTCCTGAGTGCATCCCTTTGACAAGTGATACTGGAAATCAAGTGCTAAAAAGGGATGTTGATATGTACTGCAAAGGAGGAAATGGGAACTGACTCTGCTGTCCTGATTTAAGTGAGGAGTTATACCCTGTAAAACCCAAATATAGAAAACATATATATTAGAAACATACTGTATATAATATATATTATATACTGTATATATTACATACAATATAGATTTTTTTCACCTGTCAGATAATGTTCTCTGATGGCCTCTGATGCAGAAGTATATTTTTCTTAATAGTTTTTAGGGAAAATATTTCAGTGTAAGGCCTTGTTGGGAGCAGAATTAATTTGTACTCATTATGGTTATTTGTCTGCTTACAAAGCTCCATATCAGTAAATGTCATGAATTATTGCACAGAATTCATTTTCATGCATTAAAATTTTGTATAATCGAAAATGTGTTAAAATAATAGTCATTAATCAGTGTCATCTGACTTATTGTATCAGTAACATCCTGCACACTACATATGCTCTGAGCAGTGGAATGGTGAATCCAAATGCGAAGAAGGAAAGGCTTAAAGGTGAATTATGATTAAAAAAGACGAGTCGGTGGAGCATTTTTGAGTAGATGCTGGGCATGGTAAGGTGGCTTGAGCTTGTGGCTGGTGGGGAAGACAGGTTGGCTTAAAGAAAGTTTTAGACTGAGTGAAACCTAAAACTTGTGAAAGGGTGCCACATAAATTAAACAAAACTGGGTAACCTGAGCTGACATCACAGGTGGAGAGGCAGACTATACTGCGGAGTGGCCAGGGCTGCTACTGCTAACTCACTTGAGCACAGCAAGCCACATCCCAGAATGGCACAAATATCCCAATGCTATTGCTTACGTGTGTTACGTGAACAGACACCAGGAATGCTTAACCTTCATTCACTGACACTGACACTGACAATAAAGTTGAACCTGGATAACGTCACTTTGCGTTGCTATCCACTCCAACTTTTTGCTGTATGATGCAGTCTCGATTTGAATGACCTTTTAACCCCGAAGCAGACTTACCCCATTCGAATGAACAAGAATGGATGCATTTTACATGGAGAACAAAAAGCTACAAGTAAGAGTTATAAGGCACCACTGTTCAAAGCACAACGCATTTAATAGAAACCTGCTCAACAGAGAATCTCACTCTCTAAAGGTAAAGACATAAATTCATAAGCAGTTCTTTTACCTCTAGCTTTAACTGTGATTGTTCATTTCAAATTGGAAAATAGCTGACTACACAGCAAATTGTGATTCATGAATAAAGGCTATAAAATTTGACTGATTGATTGATAATGTGCATCCTCAATAAGGTTAAGTCAGACATTCTGACTGCAAATGCAACTGTGTTTGAGATAAACTTCTAGACATCAAGCTGCAGTGCAGCAAACTAACACATTGCAATGCAATAAAATGAAACAGAAAAGTCAAACACGTGGCACTGAAAGTAAACCATCGATATTTATTTTGACATAGTACAGAGCACAGTAATACAGTATATTCAAAGGAATACACATCAGCAAGTTACCTGTTAAACATGAGTTCACATTCATCAAGTTGGGTCATACTGCTGCATATTATCACAAGCACAGGATCTAATGCAATGCAAGAAATAATCCTATCAAATAAACCACTGTGGCCCCGTTCACACCTGGCATTAACATTCGTCCTGAGAGATCCATGAGAAATGGCAGCGTTACGTAATCACTTCCCCGCTCTACATGCAAATGATCATGCAAGTCATTTGTGTTAGTTGAGACTTAAATGTTGCTTTGAGCCAGTCTGTGTTTACAGATGTGTCTAATGTCCCTGTGTGTGTGAGTGTGTGTGTGTCAGCACGAGCAAACAAAAGAGAGGTAGAGAGAAGAGTTGGGCGAGTCTGAATGAAATGAATAAGAGAAAAAAAATGTTTGCTTCAAAGTAAAACTGCAGTGGCTCAGAAGACAGCAGCTTTGTAGGCGGTCCTTCTTATGTGGCCTCGGATGGATATGTGTTCACACTGTTAAAAGAATGTGGACACGTGGCTCAGAACACCTCAGAATGTGGCGTTGATACCTGTGCTTACAGATGTCCACTTGAGATCGGATCACAAAACCCCCGTTTATACCAGGTGTGTACGGGGCAACTGATACGATACTCACATATCAAGTATAAATATGCACAATTATAGTATTTTATTTTACACACAATAATTAAAACATAAAATGTACAGCAAAAACACAGATTTAATGTGTGAGATCCAGCTATCTTTGGTTTTATCTCAGACTTTCTGTATCAAGAAGCTGGCTCACTTTTAAATGGGGATAGATCACCATGGTAACCTGTGCTGCACTGCTAACATCATGTTCAGTTCCGAGGATCAGATCAACACCTGCCAACTATCGAGCCAATCACATCACCGTCCCACAAGCTCCTGACAGAGACAACGGCAGAGTTAACAATGAGGTGGCACGTAACAAAAGCAAGAGACTTTCCATAACAATGACATAACAGATCAAGAGGGTGCTTCTTACGGTTTTAAATAAATAAATAGAGTTGGATATGCCAAAAAATATTGTCTTGATTTTTGGTCGGAAAATAAACATACTGAAACATAACATTGTTTTAAATCTTAGTTTTAATTTCATTAAATAAAAAAAAACTTGCGCAAAGGTTTGGGACACCTTTAATTAAATTCAGACGTCTGAACTGTTTTTTCACTAAGGTATAAATAATGCTATGTTCCATGAGCTTTGAGTAGTACCATATAATAAGATCACAGGGTAAAGAGCAGACATCTTCAGAGACCTCAGGGTAGAATTTTGTGCATCAACATGAGCCGTGTGAGGTGGCTGGGTCAACTTTAACAGGACATTAGAATATGACAAAGTGCTACGCTGTGTAAATGTTGTTAATAAATGACTGTGAAGAGAAACTGTGGAAGACACGACAAGTTCTGAATAGTCCAAAAATACTTTGAGATAGAGTTGCAGCTATGCTGGACAAATGACGACCCAGCATTCCTACAGAGGAGCTGCAGCAGGATCATCTAACAGGAGTGGCACCATTCATGGTTGACACAATAGTCATCAGAGGGAAGCCTCACCTGTGACATCATCACTAATGTCAACCTCTGAAGTCTGAAAAGTAACAGTTATGAATAAATAATATTTCAGGAAACACTGAGATGATAAAAAAAACCTAACTAATTAAGGATTACTTTCTATATTGAGCTGGTTTCGTCTTAAGCTTTGCCAGCTTTCTTCACTTGCACTTGGTTTCAGTAGCAGTTTCATTAGGCTGCACACAAGCAAAGGAGGTTCCAAGGGTCTCATTTGATCTTGTATTAAATTATCTGTCCTTACGTGTTGATGTGTCTGGCTGGTGCATCTTTATTATGAATGTGCTCTCGACTGGGTCAGTAGAGTGGAGCCATTTGCTAACCAACTTCATGAAACAATTAACATCAGTATTGTTAAGACTCAGCGGGAGCAGGTGACTCACATTGATCAAGACTAAATTCCTAGAGACCCTTAATTGAGGATTACTTTATCTCCTGGGCTTTTAATTGAAAGGGTACCTTATGGTATTTAAACCATATTCTCATGTCCTGCTTTCTTTATCAAATGCTAATTAACATGGTACAGAAAAAAACACTGTCCAGTGAATGAGACATTTGTCTAGAGTTGCCACTATCCTGTATTTACACCATTACAGGAACAAGAAAACAGTTGTCGTTATGTATCTTGTAGCTGAATTTTAAGTGAAAAAGTCAACATAACCACAGGAAATGAGAAACCATGTTGAGGCATTCATTTTTTGCGTGGCACCTTGTCGCCAAGCGGTACTTCATCCATCAGTTTCTGCAGAGACCACAAAGTAATGTTAGTGGCACACATCAAAATTAAATATTATAATTCAAATAACTACATTGAATATATAATGAAATCCCCATCTGTTTAGACCAATTTATGTAGTAATAATAACAATCAATTAATTTATCAAGATAGCATAGTCGTACGTTGGAAAAAGCCCTGGAAGTTACTTATTATGGTTTGACCATTGATTAGACTCAACACACACACACACACACCTTGAGCAGTCTGCTGTAGTAGGTGAAGCTGTCCTCCCCATCCTCGCGGGTGTCGTCCACCTTGTACCGCTTGCAGGCCAGCAGCAGCTCATTGGAGCTGTAAAGTGAGGCAGGGTCGATAGAGTGGCTGTTGATCAGGCTGACCAGATACTCCCGGTAATGCTTCCTGGATATCAGAGAAGCACCATTTTAGCATGATTACACAGTAGAACATGGCAGCCTCCTGCTAGTACTGATGATAGAGCTACAAACAGATAAATATATATTTTCATTCAAGGAGGGGGGTGGGACCAGGAGCAATGTGTAATCATCACATTTTAAGCATTGTCAGACAGGTTGTTAAAATAAAAATAGATGATGATGATATTTATAGATGTAATTATGTAATTATTAAAAGCATCACACCTTATTATTCTTATTAGTAGTAGTAATAACAATTATAATAATAATTGCCCTACTCTTAAAGACTGTAAGAAGCACAAGCGAACCTGTATAAGTGATCTATTGGGATGGTACGGTGCTATGTATGTGAGGCTTTGTATGTGGGGAGCAGGGTTTTGAATTCTATTCAGAATTTTACAGTGAGCCAATGCAGAGAAGCTAAGATAGGAGTTATATGATATATTGATATCCTGAGAAAGAGCAGCTGAGAATCATGTTATTTATTTGAACAGCTTCTCTCAGATCAACCTTGATCGGCAGTCTTGAAGCATGATCATCCATCGGCTGTGTCTAGTCTGAGTGCCTGTTTATCATGGTGAAGAATAGCTTTGGTGAATGGTAAATGGTTTGTATTTCTGTGTCGTCCTAACATGGTGGTGAAGCAGTCTGATAGTTTGTGATGGTTTGAATTTCCTGCCACATGGGACCGAAATGAGATCGCTTTGCTAACCTGATGCTAACCTGGCTGGGTTTAGGTTGGTCTTGCTGATCTCAGTTCCACCTTGTCACTGGATTTGAATGCTGCATTCCATACTCACCGCCTTGCACGTGCTTCAGTGGTCATTCGGTATTTCTCGGTGGCCTGCATTATGACTCATACATCCTCTAGTCACATTTGCTTCTATTATTTTTTCTATCAAGGGCCATTTAAATTTTTATTACATCCTTTGAGGGCCATACTAAATTATTTTTTAGAATTAACACATATACCAGGGCTCCAGACAAATTATTTACTTTGGTTGCACCCATTATTTTTCGCTACACCTTTCAACACTGCAATAAAACACCTATTAAACCTTTTATTGACAGATCCCATAGACTTTGGTAATTTTTTAACTTGGTCTGGTTATCGCCATTGATTTTCCCATTTGTTTTCTGATCCACAAGTTCACGATTCAATTTTAATATCGATTCAGTTAAGGATATTTCATTGTACAATACCAATTTTGTTTGGATATGTGTCAATGTTATGTCAATGTCAACTATATGTATATAGCACATTTCAAACAGATTGGTTGAGGGGAGAGAGGGGGCAGATCTAATATGGAGTGATAAGCTGTTCCACAAGTTTAGGGCAGTTACTGCAAAGGCTTGAGCTCCTCTTGGTTATGAGCTTGTTTCCTCTTTGTTTTGATACATTCATCTCAACATACTTTTCTACTGCAATATATCCATCTATTCAACCAAAGTCACGCCATTCTTACTACTCTTACTTTGTTGTTTTCATCTACTGGTTGAACATCTTTCACTTATTTGTAGTTTCCCACATTTTTGTTGTTACAATCAGTGATTCTCAACAGTGACAAAACCATAAAGTAGAATTATTGGGTAAACAGTGTCAATGTAAAGAATAGAAAATGAAAGAAGTAGCTGTGTGAGAGATGAAAATGACGTGAGTGTGTGTACTGTGTAGGCATGTACATGATTCTGAATTTATCATATGAGGCAAGAGGTCCACTATTATCATTCATTCCACTTTATAACTGTATGTGTGGCAAACAACAATAAGTAGTCAGGAAGCAGCTCTGCAACTTCTAATAAATAATGTGTTTTCAGTTAAACCAATTGTCACTTATTTTAACCTACTTCTTATAAATAAATTAAATCCAACCCAAATGGTGATTCTTCAGCTTTTTTCTTGTCTGGAATGCAAGACTTTTTCCCCACAAAGCTGGGGAAATGGAGAAATATGTCAACTAGATTCCATTTCCCTCTTTAGTCTAAAAAGGTCAAATTGTCTAACTCTAGTTTGTGCAGTCAAGTGAAAGTAATTAGACCTCTTCCTTCCTGTTTTACAAGGTTCACGGTTGAACGCCACCTCAAAATGACTTTTGAGAGTGGATACAAGTTAATTTATCAAAAATCTACTAAAACTAAAATGCCTCATTTGTATTAAAATGATTTGCAGCACCAAAGGCAAACTCAAAAGATTGGACACATATTTTGTGAGGTCCCACAGTTCACACTGCATGTCAGGACAAAAAACAAATCATGAGTTGACTGACTGTCAAAATTTAAAATCCACAACACAAAAAGGTGTAAAAAAAGTGAAGAGCTCTGAATACTTTTCTGAGCTAATGCATCTATAACATCGGTTAATTTCTACATGAGGAATTATTGGCATGACACAACCTATCTTTATTCATATTTTATTTTTCAGACTCATACTAGGTCACAGTGACCTTTAACCTTTGACTGAAATAAATTAATCTTTGAGTGACTGGTAAAAATTTGAAGAAACTCCCAAAAGCAGACTTGAGATATCTCTAGTCAAGAGGCATTTCAAAATTTGAAAGGAATCTCTTGACGGGTTCTTAAGATCAAAAGTTCACTGAGCAAAAATGGTTTTGCAAGGCTTCTACGATGTTCACCATTGACCTTAAGACACCGAAATCTAATCAGTTCATTTTTGAGTCTAAATGTACATTTTTACCATATTTAAAGAACACATCTCAAGGTAAAAAAACATAGTTCTATACATATATATGTGTATGTGTGGAACTAAAAATGCGTGACGGAAGGAATCATGACCAACAAACAAGTAACGTATAGGTAACACAAAGGTGAATAACAAGTGCACCTTGGATAATTGTAGTGACTCAGGGGTTTAGAGCACATACACACTGTAGCTCATGTAACATTGTGCCTTGGTTAAAGATGTAAATTATTAAGCTGTCATACTCGCAGAGTCCAGCATGTCCATGCTGGGTCTGAGCTCCACAAGCTGAATCTGGCTGCTGCCCTCCCTCATCCTTCTGCTCTATCACTCCACACAGACCTGAAAACAAAAAGGTGGACAAAGACAAAGAGCAGAAGGTATCACATACATTTGATTTATAATTGCATTTGAATGGTGAGAAGCAATGTATCTTATCCCTTTTAGGATTTTACACAAACAAACTAGCTCCAACTCTCTACCTGAGGCTAAGCTGTTGCAAAAGTGTAGCTTACTCGTAGTAAGCCTGCAATATCTATAATATATTTTGTAGGGTTTGCTGTAGCATTTCTAAGTGTTTTTTAGCTGCAGAAGTGATGCTCTCTGCCTCAAATCCACATGCTCTACAGATGCAGCAGACTGGAGTCCTTTTAATGAGTGTTTGCAAGGTACACTGCTCTCCTAAGTGTATGCATTTAAGGTAGTATCACACAGATCACACGGGAGAGATGAAATTAGAGATACTCAGCCTCTAAAGACTTACACTGCAGAGACGTGTCTTCAGAGGCTAAGATTGATTATGATCATCAGAAATACAAATTAGGTAATTTTTAATAACACAATGTACGCTTAATAAAATTTATAGTGGATGGGTGTTTTGGATAGAATGCATACAATTCAAACTTCAGTTAATCAGTAAAAAGGAATCTTTAGGTTTGATTAAGTTTATTTTGAAYAATTTTTAWMAAGGTAAAAGAAATTAATTATGATGACAGTTCTAAATAGAAATAAAAACAAAAGCCTTATAAGCTTCTTTTGTACACTTAAACTTTATAGTAAATATACTCAGCTGCCACTTTATAAGATCCACCTTTTGTTCAAACAGTTTTGTAGACATGATGATTCAAATGATTGACAAATAATTCACGAGTTGAAATGACTGTGATTGACAGTAAACTGTTATTTTTCTCCTAAACACAAGACCATTACACAGTTCCCAGTGTGCATGAGAAAAACATGTATTTGTATCACATGTCACTCTCAAACAATACAAACATTTTTCATACTTCAATTCAGAAGAAAGTCAAACACAAGTTTATCATTGGAAATGTATTTCTTTTCCCACCTGTCTGTGTTCCAGGAGGGGGTTCAGTGTTAAACACCACTTCATTCTTCTGTGGGTCACAAAGAAAAGACAACTGGTTACCCAGTTTCACAAAAAGGAGAAGGTGGGGACACCATGTATAGTGGGATGCTACTGGTCACTGTCTTTATTGAGGTACGCATCCATGTGTGATCAGATACATATTTTGGGCTCCCTGGTTCCAGAAGAAAAACTTCTTTTCCTTTTTCTGATTGATACTTTGGGAAATATTTTGCTGTTGTGAAATGTGTTCCGTAAATTATTGTTGTAATTTGTCTAAAGTCATCTGAAATAGTTTTCTAGTTGAAGACATTAACTACATGAATCACAATGTACCCCCCTTTAAGTTAAATCCACCTTAAATGTGTGTGTGTGTGTGTGTGTGTGTGTGTGTACCTGGAGTAAAGCCTGCAATCTGGAAGGTTCCCAGTCTCTCAGGTAGAAGAGGCAGTCTCTGGGATGATGGGCATGTAGTCCTGACACACTGCATTCGTCTACTGCACAGGTCTAATGTGAACAGACATCGGACAGAAATTAATCAATTCTACAGAAACCTTAAGGTGCATTTACCCCAAATGTGTTTTAAACATTTCATTTCAACATTATATTACATCATTTTACATATAATGATGCCTCCCACATATTTCATTTCGAATCACACATGATTCCACTATATAATAACAACCATCTGTGTTATTTCTTCACTCTTTTATTTCTTTTTTGTCTTTTATTCTAACTCTTTTGAATTTCTTTTTAAATGCATCTTTTATGGATTGTCTAATATTGCTTTTACAATTCGCTATGATGCCTTTTTCATTTTATGAAAGCACTTTGAATTGCCTTAGTTGATAAAATGTGCTATATAAATAAATATACCTTGCCATGTATTTTTTTATAAAGCCTTAACTATTCCATAAACTGCTCTCATTGTAAAAGATAAAAAAACAGGTGGTCGACTGGCAATCATGAACAACTGTGGAGCCACTGCAGCTGTTGAAATATGAGGATGATGCCAGGATGTGGCAGGTTGCATGATTACATTTAATCCTTTTTATCAAAGCCACAATTACTATACTAAATTATCATCAATTGTAGAAGTCAAAGGAACTCGTATATACAGTATATGCGACTGCAATTCTGGAGGTATGATTAGACAGTCCCAAATAAAGACCCTGGTCAATAGAGAATGAATGGCACATATACATGTATATAAACACTGCTCAAAAAGGGAACACTTAATTGTCAAAGTATGACACCAAGTTAGTTAAGCTTCACTTGCACCAATCTGTCCATTTAGGAAGCACAAGTGATTGTGAATCAGTTTCACCAGCTTTGGTGCAAATGAAAGTGACAACAGGTGCAATGGAGGCAAAAGCAAGACAACCCCCAAAAAGAGAATTGTTTTAGATGTGGTGGCTAAAGACGGCTGCTCTCTACTCATCCCTCCTGACTGATTCTTCTTTAGTTTTGTGTTCTGCTTGTGTCCTTGTCACTACTGGCAGCATGAGGTGGTACCTGCAGCCCAATCAGGTTGCACAGGTAGTCCAGCTCCTCCAGTAGGGCATGCTTGTTATGCACATAGTCAAAATGTTGTATGTTCTATAATGCATTGTCCATCTTCTACAGATGTCCCCAACTCCAGCCAATGTTGACGGCACCTGACCGTCACAGCCAGTCCACAAATGACTGGGTAAGTGTCCCATGAGAAAATCTGGCTATGAGATCTCTCTATATAAGGGCATCCAACCCAGTTTTTACGGCCCCCTGTTCAACTTGACATCTCAAGAGGATGCCACAAGCTCTGCAAATGATCATTACCTACATGCTTTTTATCTTATTACATTTTTAGGCAATTCATTGTTGACAACTCTGAGATGGGGGACAAAGGCCGGCCGGGCCAATTTCGGCTTTTGATGGAAGCAGCAACACTGGAATTAATCTTTCGGATTAACCCCATTATATTTAGGGTGATTTGATAATTTGATTAAATCCTGAACTCAACATTTAAGAACAAGTCTACCTTACAACGATTGCATTTTCTTTAGGAGTGGCAAACAACACGTTATGTTAAATGAAGCAGTCACAGGAAACAAAAATATCAGATCTAATTTAACAAAAACAAAATATTACCACTCAATGTATTCTGAGTGGTAATAAAGATTAATTAGAGGACCAGCTCATCTAATAAAATACAATATTGTCTGGAGAATGAGTGAGACTTACAGTGTGGAAAGGGTTGTTGCAGCCACTGCAGAACTGGTAGCGACACTGAGAGCAGCAGAAATGCATACAGCCTCCTTTAGACAGTGCATACTGAAAGCGGCAGTTTGGACAGGCTGGAGTGTGGAGAGCAAAAAGGGTGTGAATGGAGAGACAGCGAAGAGGGGAAAAAAGGAGCAGACGAGAGAGTTGAGGTCAAAACTTTAGGGAGAATTATTTTCATCCAATATGCAAGCAAGGGGACAGTGTGCATAAAAGATGTATTAACTGAGTTAATGTGTTTCAGCTATTGCTCCTGTAGAAGGTCACTGTGACCACTTTGTACACTGTGTACAGGAATTGTTCAGCCTTTGTGAACTCACTGAAACTGACATTGACATTTGTGTGTGAACCCACTGTCATTTGATGTGGACATCACGCTGCCATTGGCACAGAAAATCTATCCTCCTTCTGCCGTCAGTTTGGCAAATGTTAAAATCACTTGTTGTTATGACCTAACATAATATTCAGTTTAAAATAAATAATGTTGTAAGGTTTTAACATCACTATGTAAATTGCCTTTAGAAGATGTATGTTGTGATTTGGCACTTTAAATGTGAAATTTAATTTAATTGAGTGAGCTTCCCTGGATCCTGGGAAATACATGCACCAAGTTTTACTTTTACAGACTGACAGACCCACACAGACACAAGCAGACAGGCAGGCAGAGACAGAGAGAAAGACAAGCAGACAGAGACAGACAGGAGCTTGTGAAAAAAGCAGGTGTCTGTGAAGAGCAGTGGTTATTTTGCCTATGGTTAGGCTGAAACTGAAAGAATGACTCCAGAACTGCAGGAGAACTATTATTATTATTATTACTATTATTAACAGCAATACTTTTTAGTAATTAATTATTATATGCATTGTTGCTGTTATCAATATTAATCAATAACTTCTTTACACTGTTACTGTTTATATTTTAACTAGTCAGAGCTCATACCTGATGGTGCACAAGTGTTCCCAGTCTCTCTCATCTCTCTCTCTCTCTCCAAAACCAATTTCACTTCATTTCCTCATTGAACATCAAGCTTTTATTTCCCACTCCCCCTTCTGTATGCTTGTTTTTTATAAGTGGTAAATGGTTTGTATTTTGTTTGTCTGTCACTATAATATAACTTCAGGCCCACCTTCCCCTCAACTACTGCTGCCAGAAGATAATGTGTGTGTGTTTTTGTTGGTGCATGTATATGTGTAGACACTCACTGATGCCGTTGTCTCTGAGGTACCCGGCCAGGCCCTGCTTCTGATACTCTGGATCATTCTCTCTCTTCCAGGACTGGTACTGTTCACAGGACAGACCTGCATGCTGAGACTCCCACTGCAGAGAGGATACACAAACTATATCTATTGCACTGGTAAACACCTGTCAGTGCTTTAAAAGGGTTAAAGGGAAAGTAAAATGTTTTTTCCCTTCAAAATTGAACTGGCTTATTGTGTTTAACATTATAAATATATCAATAAACTCTTTGGTATTAGTTCAGGTCAGTAAATGTTATGACAGTTGTCCCTCGTATTTAAATGCTGAAAGGTGTGTGGGTGTGTGTGTGTGTGTGTGTGTGTGTGTGTTTATATTGTAATTGAGAGCACTGTCCATGATGACAAGGAATTTTCTTTGAAATGTCCACAGGCAGACATTAGACCCTGACTGTGGACATTTGTCATTAAAATAACTAGTTCAGTTTGACAGACTTAGGCTTGTGTTATCATTAGGCTTGTGCTAATGTTATAGCGGGAACTAATATACTGTGAGATGAGCGTAGTTCCTGACTGAAATTCTCTTCAGAAGGCAAGATCTGGAAGAACATACCTTCTTTAACTTTAGCATGAATGGAGAAGTTTGTTTTTTTCAACCTGGACTTTATTTCCAGCATATGGTATGTAGATCTACTCACCAATAAAGGTTTGGAGTAACTTGAGTCCTTCGGACGCTTTTAGAACCACACGCGATCGGCGTATATCCATACAACGCAAGTGATTGGGGCATCCACAATACAGCCTCTAAATAACGCATTTTCTGCCGCAAAACACTTTATTTACTGTGAATCGCCAGCACTAGTCCCCTGTGGGTCCAAGTTGCTTTTTTTACAGCCCGGGCTTTCACTGGAGTGACGTCACCAAGGCGCGCAGCCGCAGCAGAGCTGACGATCTACAGGGTTGAAAAAATCCGAACTTCTCTAACTCTGACTACAGCTTTTTTGCATAATTTCCCAAATTTTCCAACTTTGTGCACTCCACTGACCGGTGCAGATGGCATAATGCTGGAATCTGGATCACTGCCTGTGTCCAATGCCTTGTGTTGAATTTTATGTAACACATGTCATTTCACAATTCGCTCTATTAATATTTCTGTTAATACTATACTATGAAAGCTTTCATGGCTCTGTGATTCACTATATTTTTATAGAACATAGTCTGAGGGTATTTATTTGAAAAACATTGAGTTTGTGTCAGGTCTTTCAGACTTATAGTGTGCTCATAGCTTTGTTTTTGTAATTGTATTAATTTTTCTTTTAATGACAACACACAGTGACACTGAATACTTACAGGTTTTTTACATTGAGCACAGAAACTGTTGCGACACTGAAAACAGGTAACCTTCAGCTGGTCTCCATCATAGATAAACCCATATGAACACTGGGGGAGAGGAGAGGAGAGATAAGTATTATAATCCTAAAATAATACAGGGGCTTTGACTGCCATCAAATAAAATATAAGCTTATAACTTTAGACAATGTTACATTTTCACTCCTTGAAAATCTATTGTTGTGCCTTCATTTTTATTGAACTGATTGAACACAAATGAAATGCCACAGAGTTAGACAAACGTGCTGTATCACTGAATCTACTTACTGTCTAGATACTGTTTCAATTGTACAAGTGCAACAACACAACACACAAGCACACAGAGGTGGGACATGAGCACAGAGGTTGTGTGGGTGTCTCCACCTGCTACTTTAGAGACAGAAGGTTTGGTATTTAATGCATGTGCTGTATTATAACAATGACTTGAGGAATCTCTCAGGAAATCGTGTTGTTTTCTGGGTTATGCAGAAACACACCTCTCTGCTCACCCCAACCGGTCGAGGCAGATGACCGCCCACATTGAGGCTGGTTCTAGAGGTTTCTCCCTGTTAATGAGGGAGTGTGTGTGTGTGTGTGTGTGTGTGTGTGTGTGTTTGAACTGAATGAGCCCAGTGTAAAATCAGAGGCTGCAGATTCATCAGGCAATAAATGGGAAAATATGTTTATACAATTTAAAGCTTCTGTGTAATACTGATACTGAAAGAATTATTGATATTGACATATAAACGTTTATCTTAATGGCATTTGAACATCTAGTAGTTGGAGAACGTTAAGTTGGAATACACAAGTGTAACATGGAGAGGCGTGATGGCGTATGTCTGAGTCGTCTATTCTCAGCCCAAAGTAAAAGACCCAGTTTCAGTCAAAATTCCATACACTCTTTGTGCTCTGTGTTGTGCACTAAAATAGCACTGTTTGCTTGCTTATTCTGCTGCCAAGAAAAAAGACTCCATCATTTAGTGCTAGTAAAAGTTGAGTAAAAAATCCTTTACTTACATGACAGCACCAGAGGAACTTGGGGTCCTTGATAAGAGCCTGCTCTGTCAGCTTCTTATGGAACAGCTCATAGACTTCTGGCTCCAGGCACTCTCGTAGCTTAAACATTTAATACAATGATACAATCTGGATGTCAGAATATCAGCCTTTTACACTTAAAGGAAACATTACAGGACAACAGGACATTACTTTAGAAAGTACCCTGCATTGAAAAACATGTATGGTACCCCATTTACCTGTATCAGTGTTTTAAAAATGACAAATAATGCTTGTGATGACTGGTATCAGTATACAGTGCAAAATTAGAGCTCAGTAAAAACAACTTCATATTTAGCATTTTTTCCTAGTTGTGAAAAAACAAAATTCTTTTACTTAGAAAAATTACATTAGAAAAGTAATGTGTCCTCATGCATTACTTAATGTTCCAATCAATCTGCAACTATACTGCAGTTTGTATATATTAGAGGTGTTTGTATTTGTGGAAGGTGTTTCACATTTAGATATGACACATTTACACACAAATTTGTTCACACAAATAACACTTGGACAAATCTGTACCCATATATGTATATATAGCATTATTTTGCTTACAAATGTGACAGTCAGTCCTTCACAGACCGACAGAACCAACATGTTAAACCAGGCAAAGCATCTCACTGACAGTAAGGTAAATGAATGTGACAAACATCATGACATCATACCTATATCCTCAAAGACAGGTAAAATGGGTGTGACTATTGACTTGGTTTTACTTTAATTATTCACGTGTTTATTTATATATATATATTATAATGTCCTCAGGTGTATAAAATTCAATAATATAATCATTAAAGATTACTTGGTTACATTGTAAGCTTGGTTCTCTGAGTGAAGAAACTATCTCTCTACTCCATATGTATGGGGGAATGACCCCACTGCTGGCAAGGTGCACTGATAGTTCGTTTTTCCTGGCCACACTCTATGGTTAACCTATAAAACACCTGTTTTGGCATGGAATCAATTGATAGTTTAGATCGTGGTTTGTGTCTATTTTGTTATGCACCGTGAACGGTAAGCAGAGACAATATTAGAGACCTTAAATCTCTAAAAGATACTTTCCTAAATTGCACACTTAAAATCTGAGTTTGATTGAAACCCAGATGGGGTAGGAACAGATGATTGAGGTGAATTGTGTCCACAATCAAGTGGTAAAGTCTATGCTATGATAGAACTTATCCAGCTTACTGGAAGTGAAGTAAATCAAGAACTGATCTGTCTTGCAGATGGCCTGTGCACCTTATGCACTCCGCCATGGCCATGCCAGGGCACAGACTAGTGCTGTTCTACCGCCCTGTCTACCCCAGAAAATGGAGTGACTGCAGTTCAACTGGCTGCAACAGGAGGAACTCAGAAAGAACCTAAGGAAGAAAGCTGGACTGGAGAGACTGCATTCGACCCATTCAGTGAGAACCTGCAACGCCTGGTGGCAGAGAGAAAAATGAGGGAATACTAAGAGCAGACCCTGTAGCCAAGGACATGCCAGAGCATCTTGTTGCCGAGGTGGATCTTGGAAGGAATGCAACAAACGGCCAGGTCCAAACTGAAACTGTGGCCTTTGCAGGTGAACTAAAATGTCCATACATGGGGCACCTGCTGAACCAGGACTCTGAAGTATAGGTGCCCTCTCATCCCTCAGGAAGAAGAAGAGACAATAATGTGTTGACTCTGGAAGCAAACAAACAACATATGTCCTACCTAAACAACCCAGAATCTACTTGACTGCCCGTCTCCACTTTCCTGTGTTTGGAAGTGAGACACCAAAGGTGAGCATATTGCTCTCGCACAAATACCAGCTACCTAAAGAAGAAAAGAAGGAATCCTCAGAGAGGGACCAGTCCAGGGGCCTCATTATAACCATTACTATGCAGAAAAACAGGGCCTGAAAGATGCGTACACCACTTCTCACAAATGTTGGGATCTATAAAAACCAACTTGACAGGAGAATGTGCACACTTGTATGCTAACTTTGACACACATAAGAAGGGGAGATAGTAAAATGACGATGCTGACGTGAGGTGGTGAACTGAAGCAGATTATCGATTCACTTCATCATTTACATTAAAACCTACACCTTTAGAACCTTGAAAAAGGTATAAAACAACTTACAGCAAATTACGTTCAGATGCCGTTAAACAGCAGAGTTGCAGAGCCGAGTCATTAATAGTTTTTAATATCATTGGGAACATTTTGTTCAGGTGTGCGGGCACACGGTTTTATAAATCGGAATCTTTTTCGGCATACGCCAATTTCGCCTTTTGTGCACACATGCACTTTTAGAATGAATCCGACGCACTGTTTTATAAATGAGACCCCTGACCTGTCCTATGATGGAAGTTCAAAATGACAACGGTCAGAACCAGTATGTGTTTTGACCATGGACTCTGTCTTACCTACAGGACTCAGGATAACTGCTTTCACTGAAAGAAGAGTCAACACCCAAGTGAAGGCGTTTGTGAACGATTTCTTCTAACAACTGGTGAACTGACTCTTTGCTTCATCTCTAACCTGAAGGCAGACATACAAGCCAAACTGAGAGAATGTGCGGGGTTGAGAGTGGACACACCCTGCTGATGGACTGATGTAGAGACATGTGATTCATGGTGTAGTGTGTGTTGAAAGGTGCAACCAACCAAACAAAGGACATGTGGCTGCAGCAGGCCCAGCTGAGAGAGCACAGACTGGGGAAGCAACCCCTTTATGCCTTTTGCTCCTCCCACCTCTCAGGTGCAATCAGTTTCTCTGACGACCCACCCAGTCTCCTTCAAGGAGTAACATGAACAGGAAGTCACTGGGTGTTGAAAAAACCTTGAATGACAAGAAACCAGTAAACTTCAGATGTCTCAACTGATTATATGGATGCCAGACACGAAGGCCCTTACATGAATAAACAACCTGTACCTCAAAACAGTATGAACGTCAACACCTTCCCATCCACTGATACAGGATGCAATCACACAAGCAACAAAAAAAAGGAATAATTCTTATTTGCCCTGTCCACTTGCTGGGAAGAGATTTGAGGTGCAAGTTGTTGTTTTTTTTCAACATCCTCTAAAAATTATGTAAATGTTGTTCAGTCTGATGTGATACATGATGTGCAGTTTGATTATGAAATCCTGTTGATATCTGATGAGTGGGAGCATGCACCTATAACTGCAAGCTCAGCGAATGAAGAACTGCTACAAATAGAAAAAACTATTGCACTCAGAGCAAAGCAACATGACATCTGATGATCTGCATTGCATTTTGCTGAGAACAACCAAAACCTGGGAATGGAAAAATCTGGGAAGAAGGGTACAAAACTAAAACACCATTGATTGACCTGTAATGTGTAAAAAGTGTGTACAAAAGGCAGTACTGCTCAATGGTTCATGTAAAATGTGCATAAATTGGAGATGAAAATGAAAATGCTTGGTTTCTGCTTCTATGCCTGGATAAATATTGAAACATAAAAAGAGGGTCAGAGGTCAACAAATCACAAAATTAATTTACAAAAGGATTCTCAGCATTTGCTTAATTTTTTGCATTAGGAGTGGAATTACGAGATCACCTATAGCAGCAATGTAAATGCTGTGTCACTGGAAGTGAAACTAATGGTTCTGGCCTGTAGAGCAGCCACCAGCTGTGTAAGGCACATCTACCTGGTCTTCACAACACCTCAACTGCAGGCCCTTTAATGTCTGCCAGTTGGCTAGAGGTGTCATGAGCCAGAGTTTTATCAAAACATCAATCATGTGGAGAAAATGGTGAATTTCAGGTTAATGAACTGAAATGAAACAGCTTACATTGTGACAATTAACAACTGACAAGTCCAGGCAGCCGTCTTTGTGCAAGACGCATGCTAACTGTTCTATTTTGGGGCACAAAGGAGTTATGCACTCCCCTAAATTAACTACATTGGCAGTTTTAGGAGTGTTTTCTAAATTTAAGTTCTTAAATTTGGGGAAATTTAACAAAACAGAATGATGTCAACAAGATGAGGTGTAATTTATGCATTTATTAATAGTAGATACATAGCACCTTTCCAGTCTTATCGGCCACTCAAAGCACTTCACAGTACAAGTTGCATTCACCCATTCAGTCACACATCGCTTCTATATGCGTTGCTTTTTCTATCACACACCATTTATACACAGTCAGCACAGTGTCAGAAGTAATTCAGGGTTTAATGTCTTTAGCAAGGACATTGAATCCAAAAGCAAAGCAGACTGGTGCCAGGGATCAACCCCACAAATCTTTTGGTTAGTGGATGACCCTCACTATTTCCAGAGCCACAGCTGCCCACAAATTGTTCCAAACTAATAAAGTATATCATCCATTATTGACAAACATGGTTTAAATGATAGAACACTAAATTCATGTGACTCTCAACCACTTCTGTACTGGTAAGAAACCTCAAAATATGAGAAAATTGGTCAATATGGTAAGTTCTCATAAATCTCTCGTTCACACAAAATAATCTGTGTGTCCAAATGGTTCTTGCATGAGGCAAAATATCACCATATTTACAGCATCTATAACACAACGACACAAACTTTTTGCAGAATGGGTGTCCTCACTCACCTCTAATACATCAGTCTCAGATTTAATTCACCTTCATCTTAATAATGGAGTGGGGCCATTAAGCACCATATCTACATAGGTGATTGTTATCTTGTAATCGCTCTCTTACAGCTTCTTTAGCAAGACTGTTGGTGGCGTTGCTACGGTCCTAGCTTGATGTGGCATGTTGAGGTGTTGTGCCCTTTTTGTGATCCATTCTCTATTGGATTGTACAGTATGTGTTCTTTGCATTTTTCCTGCTTCGGAGCGTATTCTTGGCAACGTGGCTAGCTAATTGGCTGGATGCAGGTGGAGTAATTGTGTAAGTAACTTTGTGCCTTTGTGTAATGGCGGTCTGGTCTCAACTGAGGTAGGCTGGTCCAATTGTTTTGCAAATGTTGTTTAGCCTCCACTGTGCATTTAGTTAACAGTTCACCAGCTGGGACCATGCCACAACAATATGTTATTTAAAGATTTGAATGAAAATGTCTTTATTGGATGTTGAGTACAAAGGAAAAAAGGGGTGGAGTTGAACATAGGGTGGAGAGAGATTCAGTGCGAGGGTTCTGTCTCAGGCATCATTTCAACACAGACTCCTGAGACAGAGTCAGAGACATTGGGCCTGTTGGAATCCATAAAACCAAACCTGACAGGAGAATGTGTGCACTCCTACGCTAACTCTGAACCATGGGTATGAACATTTTGGAGACGGTAGAGTGGCAATGCAAACGTGAGCCCATAAAGAGATGGAGATTACAGATTAAGTTTATGATAAACAATAAAACCAGCAGTGTCATTTGTGCTCATGCAAAATAACTGTTCCTTAGGAATCTTGATTTCAAACATTAAACCGTTTTGAATAGGATTATTGAAATGCGTATAGATGACACAATAAGTTCCCTCACATTCTGACAGTGAGAAGCAGGAAGCTTTGCCCTGTCTGCTGTAAAGCTTTACCTGTTTAAACTGGTGGTATCCAGTTTTATTCCTGCTTGTTAATGGTATAGTGTTGCTGTGGATATTTGAACAAGGTTTCTCAAGTCACAAACTCTTTAAAAGAATATTTAGCCTCTCTGTGATAATTTAGTTTAGATTTGGACGGGTGATAGTGATTTAAGTGGAAGTGGTCCAACATGGTCAAGATGCGAAAAAAGCTGTAAAATTTATATTTTCACAAATAAAAGTTTCACAAATTCTAAAGGATTTCAGACAGTGGTGCTGCTTTACTCAACATGTCTAATACATTTTCACGACAGTCAATGCCACAAACAGAGAATTGTTCATTCAACATTGTATTTTCCCCTTAAGTTTTCTCTTAACTGTCTAAGTGGAAGCTGCATGAAACTAACCTCAGCATCATGAAATTAGTTCATGTAGATGAAATTAACTAGTTTTGAAATTTTGACTAAGTTCACGGTACCAAAACTGAAATAGGAAGATGATTTTTATTAATCGATGGTGTCGGATTATGTCTGCGTGCACCTCTCACTTTAACAGTGAGTCCTGAGTGTGCTTCACGTTTCGTGTTGTACTGAGCACAAAATGTTGACGGGTCATTTTTCATGATGTTTAAATGCAGTCTCATAAACTCTGGAGCAAATCAAACCAACACTAAGTAAACTTCATGTACTGATCAGGTCCTGTTAACTGATGAGTGAGAGCAGGTCAGAGTGGAGGAGGAAACAGAAACTCCAGCTTGATACAAATCAACTGCAGCTTCAGCTCGGATCATGAAGCAGCAGCTCTGATCATTGAGCAGCTGTGACCAGAGAAGCTCCTCATCTGGAGTGAACGTCACTCACATTCAGTTCTTCATTTGTAAACTGATTTGTTCAGTCCATCGTTCACAAAAAAATACGAGGGTTCATGCACAACACTGAGTGGAGATGCCAGCAAGTCGACCAAAGCTAGAAGCTGAAAGCAAAAGGGCTCTGCTGTGATGCTGTCTTACCGCTGATAGTGACTGAAGGATGGCTGTTTTTGAACAGTTCATTGTTCAGATCGTTGTCTGAATTAGGCAAGTTGATCTGCAGTACGGGAGCCATTATGAGTTTAGCATATGTGAGTGTGCATTATGTGTAACTTCTTTTAGGCACATTTGTGGAACGCATGATGACTTCAGAAGAAAAAAAACATGGAGGAGGACCGATGTTGTGTGTTCTGTTTTGCAGTGAAAATAATAAATAAATATGGATGTAATCATGGCTGAGAAGGCTTATGTGACCTTCAGTGGAGATTGCCCCTGTGATTGTTATAGTGGGGCAAATTGGGTCTAAAATCGGCCACATTATCCTCTAGTGTGCAGCAGCCTTAGATGTGAATTTTTGCAGATGTATTTAATGTTAATATTTGTAACTACTTCAATAGTGATTTTATAAAAGACATTTATACTGTCAATAAATATTAATGTATTTTTTAAATCACATCTTCAGCTGCGAGTGCAATTTCTCCTCCCCTCCCCTGCCACCTTATGGTGTGACGAGGTACAAACTGTTGTATGATGTTACCTTCCTAAGTCCTTCCTAGCTTTATCTTTCTTCCTACCTGGATGTCAAGGGTGGAGAAATAGCTGTTCAGGTGTTCAGGATCATTGATGTTTGGCTCCCAGCACACTGGACACACCATGTCCCTGATGTGTTTGTCTCTTACAGCGATGGTGAAGTGCTGCTGGAAACAACCACAGCACACTGAACACTGGCATGATGTTAGAGACTGCATCTGAAAGGGAAAAGAGGGGGGAAAGGGTGAAGATGTGCTGCTGTTTTGCAAAAACTTGTAGAAACATTTATTGTATCAGTACCTTGCTGTGGGGGAAGACAGAGAGGCAGATGGGACACTCTTTAGCAAGCACTCTTCTGATAAACTCCCTATCATGGGACTCTCGTACAGCCTGCACTACATCCTCCAGCGAGTAGGGCGCACTATGCTCCAGAAGCAGCGACAGTGCCAGCTCACAGCGACCCCAGCTCGGAAGATCATACACAGCTAGTAGCCTACGACATATCCGCTGGAAGAGAAGAAGGAATTATATAGAAGACAGACCTCACACATCCTACTAGCTATACCAGTCAAACTTTGACCTTAAACTAAACATTAATCATCAAAATGATCATTTACAATAAAGACCACATATACATCCCACACAGAATAGAGGTTGAGGCTGGAAGGAATCTTTAACAACCAGGGCAGAAACAGGCTGACAGCAGAGAGTGAAAGGAGTGGTTACTCTTCCTTCAGTCTTTTTTTGCTAAATGGGAAGTCATTCCTTAAAGGTATTCCTTAGATATCCAATCCAAGAAACGGATGGATGTGAGGTCACAGTAAAATTGACCTTTGACTTTTGCCACCCATTTTCAGAACAGTTCATTCAAATTAATGTTTGTGTCAGATGTAATGAAACACTAAGGAAGCCAAGCGATGAAGTAAAAATCAAGGTCTTTAATAAAATAGTCATACAAAGGCAAACAGACAAATGGGAGAAGGCAAACAATCCAAAAACCAGAAATAAGGCACACACTCACTAAAAAAGCACAAGAGAGTTTAATTCATGGAGGCACCATGAGACGATCTGACAGGGAAGTGTGTGAGCAGGTTCGTATAGTGGGCGACTGATGGATGTTGAGGGGCAAGTGTGATGAGTGTAGTGATGGGGAAACAGAAGTTACAAAGTTACAAACTAAAATCCATGATAGTGTTTCTGACATATTGCATTTGCACTGTGACCTTTACCTTTGACCACTGAAATCCCATAATTTAGGTCACAGTGATCTTGACCTTTTATCTTTGACCACCAAAACCATATGAGTTCATCTATCACTCCAAGTGAATGTTTGTAATACATTTGAAGAGATTTCATTCAGGATATTTAAAAGACCAGAAAAGTGTTTTAATTATTTCAGGAGACTCTAATGCTGTGGTGCCTCCGGGCCCTTCACCATGTCGTGGGCCTTGTGAGCCAAGTGTGTTGCATGCAGGGTATAAAAGTCCATAACTGCTGTTTCCTCTGTTCTTTGTTAGGTCTCACAGTTGGAGACTCTGCAATTTCTAGTGACTGTGATGCTGATCTGTCAGGATGCTCTCAGTGGTGCCTCTGTAAAATGTGGAGCATGCCCACTGGAGCATTAAGCAAATTGGAGAGGTTTGAGAGTTATGGTGAGGCAGGACTTAATGTTCTGCAGGACCAACCTCTCAGAGCACTTCATGATGACTGGTGAGTGCTGTGGGCACAATTCAAACAAAAACAGGAGGTTTCTTAGGCAGGGACTTGATGGTGGTTGATTTGAAGCTAGGGGCTATGACTGCATGGGTAATGGAGATAGTGCTGATGACTGCAGAGTTGAACCTGACATTACTGCCAAAAATGTGGTGGAAAGCTTTGGATCTGTGGAGATATCGGTTTTTACCTTGACACTGAGTGACTGAAGAAAGTCTATGAATGTCTAAATTTTTATGGCTGAAGACCAGACTCTCACCTGTTTGTCAGGATGATGGATGTCTACGGGAGGTTCAGCTTTCTCACTCCAAATACGGTTGTGGAAGGGCTCCAGCAGGGGTCTCTGCAGCAGGGCCAGGGCCCCTCTTACCTCACCACCACTCTGTTTCAAAACCTCATGGCAGCGAGCCTCGTCTCTGAAGCCCAGGGCACACAGCTCCTTTATCTGAGGGAGTACGGTAAAGAAAAGTGACGATGCCATTACTTGACAGAGAGAAGACTGACAGGATAGTCAGTTGTTTGTCTCCAAACCTTTTTGGAGATAATATCACCTTGGCAAGTCTGTCTCTCAGAGCTTGTCTGGCTGCTCTCTCCGAGTCTCCGCCTGCTGTCAGCCAGGCTTGCTTAGCCTCTGCTCTGGACAGCTGGATCCCGACTTCTGTCTCTGCAGGGTACTCCTCTCTCCCAGCATCCTCAGCAGGAGCTTCACTTGACCTGCTCTGTGTTAGAGGACAGTTAATCATTATTCAAAATCCCAGCTCACAGTCACTTTCTGAGGAACATAAATGTGTGAGAGAAACATTTTCCTGCAGAGCCGGAGATCCCCAACCGTTCCGGATATATGCACGCGCAGGCCATGGATCCCCTTTTCAGTCTATCTATATATATATATATATAATATACATATATCTTTTTTTTAAGGAAAAATACACACTTCACTATTATGCCACCAGTGTATTAATTAGTCTATCATAGATGCTGAAATTAAGTTTCAGCCTTGATGATGTTGATGCGAATACTAGACGTTCAGTTTCCTTCTCAGAGTGGGTCTGGAACTCCTGCATGCGGTGGCTAAAATGTTGGCTCTGGCTTGCGCATACATAGGTCTAACACAGTGGCTCGTGCATGTGTAGATCTAAAATGGTGGGGGCAGGGGCTCTCCAGCTCTGCAGGTCGATATTGCTGAGAGAAGCATACTGACTGTGTGCTGTGTTGTGGTCTTGTCAGACTGAGGGGATGCCGCTACCAACATCCTGATCTGGTCTAACAGCGGAGGAAGCTCTGACTTTAACCACTTGTAGGGCAAGATGCTGCTGTCTCCTGCCACCCGCATGCTTGTGTATACCTCTTCTGGACTCATTCCTTTCTTCTCCCCATCCTGATGCACACAAAATGGACAGATACAAATAAAACTGACACCAACTGAAGTTTCGATCACAGGATAGTGAATAAGGTGATGGAGGTGACTTTCTCTTATCAGTTGAATCAACTTGAGCCCCTCCTCCTTCATCAGCCTCTGTCTCCAGGAGTCCATGTCTTCAGGGGCAGGCTCTTTGTGTTTGATTGGTAGGGCGGGGACCCGTCTGACAGGAGAGGGAGGGCGGAGCTTCACAGGCAGGGGTGCAGGCTCTGGCCGAGCCAGGTCACACATGTCACACACTGTAGCAGGAGTATAGTTCAGATATGTGCAGAACTGACACACCCACTGGAGAGAGAGAGAGAGAGAGAGAGGGAGAGAGAGAAGCAGAGAGAGAAAGTTATAGATTTCAGGAAGAATCCCAATTAATGTCAGGCTGTGGAAGTTGGACAGCAGTACAAATATCTTGGGACTCTTTGAGCATCACGTGGATGTGTGTAGGAAAACTTATCAGTGCATATTTTTTATCAAAATCCCTTTTATGACAATGTTTTTTGTTGTTTTATTGAATCTGTTCTTTCCTTTTCTTTTATTCGTTGGTACTGACCTTAAAAAATAAGAACCAACTACAAGCCATTGTCAGAGTGTGCAGCAAAAAAGCAAGCATGAACCTGCACAAGGTCAGCTGCCTAATTTATAACCGTTGCATATACGCACAAAGCTGGGTCTGAAAGATGCGTACGCCACTTCTCACGCAAACATTGGGATCTATAAAAACAAACTTGACAGGTAACTATGACCCATGTGAACGAACATTTTGGAGACGGAGAGTTGGCGAACTGAAGCAGACTATTGATGCACTTTATGATTAACATTAAAACCAACAGAGTTATTTGTGCTCGATTTTCAATTGAAAAAGATATAAAACAACTGACGTTCAGATGCCTTTGATTAGCAGAGTTGCGGAGCCGAGTCATTAATAGTTCTTAATATCTTCTAACACTGCACGTGTATCATCAAGTACGACTTTAGTTTTCATATGGTGTGTGTGTGTAAAATCGCTGCATTAGACGTGACTGTGCCATCAGAAGGATTCCAGATAAAATGTACAGGTGGCATTACACAATCTGAGCAGCTTTTGTGCCCATAACAGAAGAGTGGGATAATGAGAGAGCATCAATAAAAGCATTGCAGGACTGTGGAGGGAGTAATATGGTGGGCAGAGGTGATATAGGAGTGTAACAGGGTATTATGTCAGATTATGTTAAAACAAATACAAATACACATTAAAACTAGGGGGGCACTCTGAGATTGAATTGTTAAAGTGAAAATAATCCTGGATTCCTACTTGATTAACGGGGCAGCCCTTAATTGAATCTGAAAGTTAATGGGTTGTTCCTTGGCCCATACCCCAACCTTCCATCAAGTTTCAAGAAAATGAGTTTGATTTTTCTTTTTTGTGTAATCCTGACAAACAAATAGCAATGAAAGACAAATAGCAAAAAAAAAACATAACCTCCCTTCTGATGACAAATTATACTAGATAAGGACTAGATTAGATTAGACTAGGAATCTGTGCTTTGACAATATTTTATATATCCAGGTTAGAGGACGAACTATTAGAAACAATGATATATACATATATAGAGAATATATGAAATGAAATGTATTTTTTTCTCTAAATGTATATTATATATTCAATTCATTTCAAGCTATTATTAATATAATACATAGATAAATACAATTGAATAAATTAAATCTTTTAATTATTTTGACATTATTATAATGATTATTTTTTAGGGTAAAAATTGTTAACACCATGCAAGCTATTTTCAGCTCAATTACTTAAAATTGCTTGTTTTCTCCAGCGATTGAGGTTATGCTTAAACTCCCTGGCTCATGATATCTCTACTTAACAGGAGCTCCCATACAACGAGCATCATATGCTGTGGTAGAGCTCAGGGTTGGTGTTGTGTTATAGCTGGTGGCTGATCTACACACCAGAGAAGGCACATTTTTAGCATGCGGCTTATCATATAATATTGTAATGAACTCTGAACTTGTGAAGTTGTTTTTACTCTTTTATGCCATTGTTATAAATCAATACTACTGCTTGGGGCAGGAAGCGTAGTGTTATATGTGATATTGCTATCCTAGTGCACTCTTGTTTAAATACACACAGGTACCATTCATCATGCAAAGGCAGGTCATCAACACAATTTTCTGAAATAAGAAGTTCGCTGAATCTGACTGGCGTCTGGATGATCATTCTGCTCTGGCAATGTAAGATAGATGCTGTCTGCTCTAATGGTTAATAGACTGTTCCATATGATGCTTTTCTAGTCTTTCCGTCCACTTGAAGTACTTTACATTACAAGTTTCCTCCATTCATTTATCTATCTATCACATAGTGGGAAAAAGCTTTGTTTTCTTAAAACAATCACAATTGTCTCCATGGCAGTAAGACCAGGATGCAGCGACGGAGAACCTCATAATCGTGTCGAGGGGGACTTGTTTAGGTGGAACATTTTCACAAGGAGAGATGACCACTGTCATTGAAATGGCTCATTCTCAGCAAAGCAAACACCACAGGCACAATAAAATATGTATACTGGCTGTTAGAGTGCAAAATCATGACATTTTCAGTATGTAGATTTTCACCTTGGGGATCATTAAAAGTTATAACAGACTGTAAGAGGAGGGGAAGAGACTGCCCAAAAAAGACAGTGAAGGTCCCGGAGTCACACCAGGAGCAGAAGAAAATGTTCAAGTTCATAAACTATTATAACTCCTCCTGAAGGGGACATGAATGTGTGAATAGTTGTTGAGACATTTCAGCATTATCTGGTCTGACGAAACAGGTGTACACGGTAGGCATGAGCCTGCCATTGGCCACATATTTCACAATGCACTCTCCTCCCCTTCTTCTATCTATGTGAACATTCCTGGAACCGAGGCAATGATAATGGCAACAAGCTCGATAAGCATCACACACACATACACACACACCTAACTGACCTGGCTGTCGGGGTCACCAGGCATGCCCAACACTGGTGCTGGCGGTCTTGGGGGGTTGATAGGTGGGTGTGATGGGGTCATTGGAGGTCGTGTGGCCAAACGAGGTCTTTCACACACCTCACACAGAATACTGCTGGCTGCATTCACCATTGTACAGCTCTTACACTGCCACTCTGAGAAGGAGACATTGCATACAAAACACACACACACACATTGTTAATGAAACTCAACAAAGTTGGAAACATGACGGCCTTCATAGAGAGGACCCCTTGGTTGTAAATATAAAGTGTTTCGAAATACAGGGCCTGTTCTAGGGTAAAGAAAACAACAATTCATACAATTTAGATGATTACACACCCTTTCAATACATCTTACACACTGAACCTTTTAATGTAAAGATTTAGGTGAAAATAATTTTTAGCAGAAATTGAATATAAAATAATCCTCATGATGTTTTCACTGGTGTGTTTCATCAAAATTGTATGAATTGTTGTTTTCTTTACCCTAGAAAAAAGTCGAATGAAAGAGGTGGGATTACTGCAGCAACACTGACTGGTGATTGTGGTAGACTGAGATTCCTCTGCTTTAGAGCTGATGGATTCCAAACGAGGGTGCTCACAGTCCAAACACAGCACATCCTGGACAGAGTTGACTCTAGCACAGTGAAGGCAACACCACGTGGAAGAACTGACACAGGGGAAGAGAGAGTGACTATTGTCATTTGTTTACCAGCCATATAAAACAGTGATAGACGGTAATTCACTAGCATTCATTCTGTGTTAAAATAGACATTGGTGACCCGCCCTCATCTTAGCTCATCCCCAGTTTGTATTGCCAGGACAATTGATACAGACCTGTGATTGCTTCTGTTTTTGGATGATGATGTGACAGCTGTTCGACGGTGGTGGGCTCTCTCAGGGTAGGAGTGGTATAGTCTGTCACATTCTGAGCAGAGACCCTGGAGGCAGGTGAGGCAGTGGGCAGAGATTCTGAATATTCCACAGATAGTGCAGTTCTCTGAAACAGAGTTAACAATACACTCTACCAAATTGTCACATCATTATTTTACATTATTTACATGACGACCCAGCATGGTAACAGCTTCTCTCCTCACCTGGGTGTTTGTTTGAGGAGGTGGAAAAGACTTGAATAGACCTGAGACTTTGGTGGTTGGAAGACAAGGAGGGGCCCCGGCTGCTCTCCCTGAGGGAGTGGTGGTGGACGGGGAAAGCTAAAGACTTTGTCTGACTATCAGAGTGGCATGATGTGGCAGAGGAGTGATAGACAACAGCATCAGTATTAAGGCCCACATCCTAAGAAAAGAGAGGAGAGGTCATCATAAACTTCAAAATAAAAGACTGTTTATTCAGTGCTATGTTATACCACCGCAAAACATTTGGTGGCAGCTAGGTGGTAGAACATGTTGGCCACTAACCAGCAGTTTGGTGGATTGATACCCGGCTCCTCTTGGATGAATACCAGTGTCCTTGGGTAAGATGCTGAACCTTAAATTGCCTGCCAGTGTATGTATTATGTGTGGTAGAAAAGTGCTGCATATAACAGCACTGTATGAAACAGTGTGTGAATAGGTGAATACGACTTGTACTGTAAAGCACTTTGACCGGTCATTTAAACTGGAATAATGCAACATAAATACAAGTACAATCCCTTTACCATTCATCAGATAAAGCTGTCCTCAACAGCATGATAATAAAGGGAATATAGTTATCCCAGACTGATCCCAGATTTAAGACAATTTTCAAAAACAAAGGTTTATGTGTTTATATAATCTATCTGATAGCAGTTTATTGAAGTTTTTAGAGCTAACAAAAAGGGCCATTGAGTACGAAGTAATTGTCCTCATAGAGGACTCTATTTTTTACCAAACTAGGTCATCCCATATAAAGAAGGATATGTCTCATTTTTCTATTTAGCAAAAATAAAAATAAATTTTACTTTAAGATCCAGTGTGTAAGATTTAGGTGAAAGGGATCTATTGTCGGAAATTTAATGTAGAATAATCCTCATGATGTTTTCACTAGTTTGTTTCATCTAAATTGTATGAATTGTAGTTTTCTTTACCCCAGAAAAGGCCCTTTATATTTAAATACTTTATATTTACATTGAGGGGACCCTCTCTACGGAGGCAGCCATGTTTTTTACATAAGTCCAGACTGGACAAACTAAACACCTTTTGAGTTTTCATGACAACTGAAGCTACCACAGGTTCTTTTTCATATTTGGAAGGAGCAAACATTGTCCTGGTTAGTACGTCCACTGTGACAGAAGGAAGTCAGGCAGTTCTGAACCCAGGGAATCTGAAAACCTTTGGTGTAAATGGTATGGTATAGATGTAACATGACGAAATGAAGGTATAGTGGTGGTATGATGGACTCTACCTTGTGTCTCAGTGTAGGAATGATTCTCTCGTAGAACTCAGGGTGGGGGTGAGCCTCCTGGGATGAAACCAAATAACAGGATATCATCTGTGCTTTTATTAATACTGTATGTGCATACACATGCACCACAGAAGAAAACACACCTCACTAACCACAAACACTTCTGTTCTCCTGCAATGATTACAACAATGTTCAATTTCACAATCACACTGACTCCAGTATTACTGACTGAGTGATAGGGTTTGCACCTGTCTGATAATATCAAGGCTCCAAACTACTTTATGCCTCATACACGCACGCACACACACATGCACACACCTTGATAAGCATTTCTAGTTCCGTCCTCAGGCTCATCACTTCAAGTGTTACTGCAGCGACTCGGCCCACATCAGGATCAGTGACATCATCAGGGAAGCTGAGTCCATCTGCCTGCTGATTGGAGTAACCATAGAGACAGAGCACTGCACGTCCTCCCTGGGAGAGGAAAGAACAAACAGCATATAATGTCGACAAGAGCTTTTTTTGTTTAATTTTCCAAAGAGTTAAGTATGAAAAGAGACTTTGTGTTACTATTGAAGTCTACTTTGGGGTAGACTCAGAAACAGTGTCCTTGTTTCACAGAAGAGTGTTCATGAGCAAAAATGGTCCATGTGTAACAAAAAATATGTAAAAAGCAAAAGAAACAAAATAAGGCTATTTAAATTGACATTACATGCACATGGCGCAAATGTACTTTCCCCTTGAAAGTAACTGTTTAAGCTTCTTTTGTTTAAATGAGACCTTCTCAGGCTCTTTTCAGGCTCTGTGTGAGCACAGGAAAGCATTCCTTAGGATCAAGAAGGGTAAGAGGGACAGGCCTGAGAAAACCTGCAGACAGATGAGAAGCTTTTACTTCTGATCATCATCAAAACAACAAATAAAGTTTTTAATATGATATGAGAGAAAACACTGAGATCTGCAGGTAGAGCTGATAATGACATGCAAAAGTGACCTTCAAGTGAATGTGAATGATGGCATAACAAGACAGAAAAAGATCCTTAAAATACTAGGCCAAAGAAGATGATCTTAATTAAAGTTTGTTTTATCATTTATATTTATGAGAAATATTGAGCTGTGTAAAGATAATTGCTTGAATAAAATACATTAGAGGCTTTAGGAACTATTTATCCTCATGTTGTTCAGATCTGCATTGATCATAAACACTGTCAGGTTTTATGTCAGGAATTCAAAAATCATTATTGAATTAAAATGAAGCTATATTACTTGTGATGTGTTTATATATAAACTCTTCCTCTGTTAGAAGCTCTGTTTTAAACCAGATTGGACAAGTGAAGAGCTAGAGATAGAAAAACCATTCCACCAATCTATGAAGCATCTGTTGACTATAATTATTTCTCACTTAAGTCCCTCTTCAGGATCCTGTAGATCGATGACTCAAGTGATCAGATTGGTCAAGTGGTTCAGCTGTTGATTGCTTTTGATCCAATGCAGGTTAGCGATTGAGCCTAAGTTACCATGGTGACCCCAGTAAGAAGTGAACCAGCTTCTTAGGACTGAAGTTAAACCTGAAGTTAAATCCCAAATCTTGTTTTATTTCACAGGCCTAAGGACAGTCTCAGGCAGACCTGTACATGTAAACAGGTTATAACTGAAACGACTTATCAGCTGAACAATGACTATTCTGTGCCAAATGAAAATTTCAGTAAGGGCTCTGCTACCTGACTACTCTCATTTCCTGCACACTATGAAAAATATACAGAATCACATAGGTGATCATAATAATCAGTTAAATATGGACTTTACAAGACTTTACATCAATCAATCAAATTTTATTTGTATAGCCCATATTCACAAATCACAATTGTCTCACAAGACTTAACAAGGTGTGACATTCCCTATCTTTAACCCTCAACAACAGTAAGGAAAAAAAAAACTATACAGAAGTGCAATAGATGCCACGTGTAGCTGAACACATCCACACAATTACAATACATTGATTAGAAGAAACAGTTTTTAACATAATGGAAAGATGTGTAAATGTTTAAGGTATTTGTACAAATGAAAATGTCTGATAGAGATGAAGGAAGCAGCAGTGACAATTGAAATGGAGGGGTTATTGTCAGTAATGGTAGAATGTGAGCAGGAATATTGTATATAAAGCAGTCTTGTGGTAACCATAGTCCATGATCAGCCGTCACCAGGATCGACAAGACGATTTGAAATGATTTACTCATGAGATTTATTTATTATTATCATCATTACTATACTGTAATATCTTTTTGTTACCTGAATAGCATCAACTGTGGCTCTGAACACTGGATTGTTGTGTTTCACAGTCCTCCAGTATTTTGGCCTGTTGGGATTTGTCAAGTTGCAGCCATACTTTTCCAGGATGTTCAGGGCTGTAGACAAGCGCTGGAGAGATGCAAGGGTCTGAAGAAGCACGGAGAACAGTATATGTAGCCACAAGTTTAATCTTTTTTTAAATTTCAAGTTAAATCTGAAAAACACAACACACCACAGCTGTTTGGCTCTGTGCAGCTAATTCCTCCACGGGACATGGGATTCTGAATTAAACCAGATCTATCCAAACACAGTTCAAATTCAAATCTAAAACAATGCCTTTTCTGTTTTAT